GAATTTAAGGAAAAGGCTATTACTTTTAGGCGACTTTTTATAGATCACTTATTAATGTTTTAAATATTTGTGGGCGATCATGTGGTTATAAGATTATAACAAATCCCAGATTTTAATGTATTATTAGAGATATAACCAGTTTTTGTCGAAATATAGTAGCTTTTTGAATTTTTGAAGACATTCTAGCAAATTAGGCCTCAAAGGTGGCGCATATGACCCAAGGAATTCATGTGTCACGTATCTCACTCAGACAAGAGGACTTTTGGAAACAAGCTTTGAAACTAATGAGTGCTATGTTTCCAGAGAAGGACGCGGTCTGTCTCTAAAATATAAAATGCCTGACGTCTACAACTCCAAAGATAGAGATGGCCCCGAAACGAAGAGAAAAAAGGAAAAATTGTATTACCAATTTGTCCTGTTTTAAAAAGGCTGAATACGGTATGTTGGGACTGACGATAAAAAGACAATCCTTTAAAAATGGCGCGAAATAGAAACGTCTGAACTCCGCGGATCACAACGGATGGGAGAAAGAGGAAAAAAACGTGAACAATTTGAACAGGATTTTAGCTACTTGATATGCACTTGTGTTGTCTTCCATGTCAACTTCTGATTGAACGATGCAGTGCCAAACTTTGATTGGACGACGCGAAATAAAGTCAAGATTAGTTACGCGCCATGGATGCGTATGGGATGCAAAAACTAAACATTGAATGGGAAGTGAAACGCAGAATTTGGTAAGATGCACTAAGCTCATGCAAACATCAGACTCAACGGAAGATGTCTAAATGGAGCAGCACGATCTGAAAATTTAGTGAATTGAGTTCAGTTGATGAAAATTCATTCAGCAAGGCTCTTTTAATGATGACTGGCCCTCAAAAACATAAAACAAAGTTTTAATCCCATTATAAATCAATGCCGTAGTTGGTAAATCCTTTACAAATTCGTGAATCAAGTGCTTAGAAGTGATGCGAGGAAGAGTCACAAAACATAGGCACCTGATCCTGATATTGAAAGTTATATTCTGAACCAGCTTACCTAAAAGATGATTCTGATCGAATATGAAAATACAAAATTATATTCAAATAATAATGGAAATTCAAGAGAGAATACGAGTTTTTCGAGATAGCCATGTTCAGATGATCATAAAGGGAAAATATATAATTTTGTGGACTAGATAGCCACTCTAAGTGCTGAAAACATATATGACGATAACATAAATGAGGTGAACATCAAACTGCTTAAATAAAAATAATCTGTCAAAAGCTCTTAGCTATGACAGGTACAGCAGGTATAGGGAAAAAATTACAATATCGATATTTAAATGAGTCCACCCCTTTGGAGGAGCGTAGATATCGAATAGGGCAAATGAGATGACCAATATCTATTTTATCCTGGATAATGTATGTGACATTTGGATGGCACATCTTTTATGACAAAAAAATAGCTTAATTGGCTAAAAACTTTAAACACGAACGAACCGGGCTCATCATTCAAGCAGTATGCTGTATAATGTCCCGATTGGAATCCTCGACCGTGGTGCACAATCACGCCAGTTAATTGATAGAGCCGCCTATGTGGCCCTTCGACAACGGCCTTAGTCTCCATCGGTTTCTGCTCTTCTCCTTCCCCTTCATCACCATCGACCTTCCGTACATCAAAGGCCTGTTCGTCTATGTCTTGTTTTTCTCCACTGCACTGGCTTGACCCATTTGAGAGGCTTTTAACTTTGTGGCCTGAAGTTTGAGTTGAAGAAGAAAACGGTTGTAGGTGGGAGTCAATTGGCATCTCAAGTACCTGAGCCGAGCTTGAAGCAACACCAACCATTCGAATTCCAAGTTCGGAATGGGCGAGACTTGAAGAAGATCCATTCAGAGGATGATCAACGGGGACATACGGAGTAAGGTGAGAGGTTGTCTGAAGTGGAAGATCAGAGCTTAAGAAGAGGCCAGGAGAGGTGGAAGAGGGAAGTGGAAAGGAAGAACTAGGGATGACTGGATCAAGGTGGGCTCGTTTTGTTGAAGAAAAGGACGAAGGAGTGGTGGAAGTCACAACGGGATTGACAGTGATGGAGGCTCGCCGCGGGCGACAGGGAATCAAACCAGTGGAACCTGCTGTTCCAAAGTGGGATGAGTAGCTAAGCAAACTTTCCGGACTTGACTGCTGGTTTGATCGACTGAAGATCTGGTCAGTGATGGGCCTAACCGGCTGTAGTGTGTTGGAGTTTGGAGAGACCGGAAGAGGAATAATTGAATTTGGCTGAGGGCAGTGCATGCTGTGGGATAAAGGAGAAGTTGGTTGGCTAGAGCAGTTTGATAAGAGGTCAGGTCTCGAAGCAATCCCAGAGTCAACCATCCATTCTGACATATCAAGAATGAGGGGGAAGTTCACATGGCAGCCGAGCTTCTCACGTTGACGACCCATCCACCTAAATAAGTGTAATTTTGATAACATTATTAAGATGAAAGGAATTTTATGAATTATAAAAAGGCAACAAATATTTACCAGAAAAAAAAACGAGTAAGATAAGGAGCTAGAAAATAGCCCAATGAATCGGCATCACTTTTAAAAAGGAGCTACATCTGTTATAGATTTTAATCAGAATAGCCGAATGATTGTGATATTCAACAATGAATTCATAATAGAAGAAAATGATAAGAAACAAGGATAACTGATGGTGAGATGATAAATATGCTATTCTTAACTGGAGAAATGAAATTTTTTATTTATAAGTGAAGTTTTGAAACTACCAGTAAAATCAGTTATATGAAATGCATTCACCCTATTCCCACAATTATATGAGTAGAGTTGATGCTTCATTGAAATTCACATAGCCTTGCTTTCCCCGGATGATAAAATCTTTTAGGAAAGCAAGGCTATGTGAAATTGAATGTAAGAATCAGCTCATATAATTGTGGGAAACCTGAACTATCAGTCCTTCATCACTTTAAACGAAATATGATGAATACATCTCATGTAAAAATGATAGTAAAAAGGGTATCTTAATGAGAGATTAGATATTTGACGGAGAAGTTTTGGGAAGCCAACTGACCCTCGTTCACAAAGAAAAATATAAAGTTCGTATTCATAGATGTGGGACCTTAAGATTGCTAACAATTTAGATCCGTCGTACAGAGCTATGTTGGGATTCAGACTAAATTTTAGCAGTAAAAAATATCGATTCTAACTTTGGGGGTACTCAAAACCCCTAAAACCTGGCTAAGAATTGCACCAAAAAATAATATGTACTAAAAATCATATCATGATAGTTTGCACGTTAAAATGGAAAAGTTTGGCTTTTGACCAACCTATCATACATTCGAATCCCAGAGAGATATTGATGAAATCAAGACAGGTTTAAAACTGTAGACAATGCCAGGTAAAGAAGTTGTTTGACTTTGTTTTCGCAACTTGGCCATGTTGATAGAAAGACTTAGAGGAACGCACCTAGGCTGGAGTCCATTGTATGAATGATTACTTCCAGATTCGAAAAGTGGACGCAGTACATTCCCAGATGTTTCGCCGGCATCGTCAAAAGAGTCTTGCCATTCATAGCACAACAATACAACTAGTCAGAGAGACAAGTGAAGTCGATCCTTTCACCAATTGCCTGCTAAACAATCGTATTATCTCTGCTTCCTCCTTGGGCTAATCACCAATCCTATGTTCTTGTACCACCCCTTCACTATCGCAATTTTTTACTTGCTTATTAAAGTGTGGTATTGTGTTCCCTTTTGAGCGGCTTTCATAAGAACTCTCCACACTCCACACTAATTTTCTCACCCTCAGTCCTCCTTCCATAGGTCTTATCAGTGTCTCTCTCTTGCTCCGTAGGATCCGTCTGCTCTCTCCTTGGTTCAAGTATTTCACTCGACCCCTGCTACCCCATCTGTGCTACTCGAGGCGTTATTACCGCTCCCCCGCGTCTGGGTGACTAATTCAAGGCTAGAGCCTCTGAGTAAGTCTTATGGTCAAACCTTTGCTACATGGACCACGTCTATGGCCAAACAGGCCTACTGTCAGCCAACTAGCTCTAGTCTCAGCCGCGTCTATGCGCCAAAACACAAATGTTGTGGTTCTACCTGTCGTGATTAGGCTCACTTAAGACGTCTCCTCTTTGCTTCGGATTGTACCTTTCTCGTGCCCCTGCGATCTGTTTTCCTAAAATTAAGCATATTACCTTGATCCACTCGTATTCTATTTGCTGATCTTACTATTTCCTGGTCTTTTTCGAGTTTGTTTAGGCAATATGCAAAGTTTTAGCTGATCCTGCATTCTTCAAGTCTCCTGTTCATTAGATTTCTCTCGGTCAGTATATTGATGGCCTCGTATTTTCACCAAATGCAGCCAGCCTTTCAGTCGATTTCCAGTCTATTTCGTATCCTGTTTGTGCAATATGTTACGTATTTTGGATCTTTTCGTATCCATGTCTTTGATATTCCTTGATTCGTAGGCCAATTTTTCTTCCTACTTCATCGATATACTTCTGCTTACAGTTGCTGCATTTAATGCAATAAACTTCCGAGCAACCCTGTTTTTCATTCTTCTCGTGTTGCGTCGGTAGATTGATGAAGTGTTGTCTTCTTCGTTATCACCTTGATGCTCCATTGCCTTAGTAACGGTCGCAATTTTCGGCTAAGTTCAGATGAGGGCAGGAAAATCCACTTTGGGTTGTCCTCCTGATTCCTGATCGGATTTTCAAAAAGAAGTTGTTTGACCTTGTTTTCGCAAATTGGTCATATTGGTAAGAAGACTTAGAGGAACTCACCCAGTCCGAAGTCCATTGCATGCATGATCATTTCCAAAGTCGGACCGTAGACGTGATACATTGATAAAATCCGAGTTAAAATATGCCCTTTAAAACCTCTACATTTTTAAAATAAATTCTCTCTGGTATCCGATGATAAGTCAGTTTCTCGAACGCCTCGTCCCAGAACTCAGCGTCCGTTAGTTGTAAGCTTCTGGTGATCAAACTCCTCAGTATTCCGACCTTCCGTCTGTAGTTATGGTGAGACTAAAAATTAAGGATTATTCCCGTATATGAATCCTTGCTGTATAGTCTCCTAATTAGTGTCCCGGTGGAGCGCATGAGTTCAATATCCAGAAAGGGTAGTAGTTCATCCTCCTCCACCTCCATTGTGAATTTAATTCTTTCATCAAGTTGGTTAATTAAATTGAGGAATTCATTTTGATTGTCCTTACCATGTGAACAAAGTGCAAAGTAGTCATCCAAGTATTGCAAAAACACTCTTGGTTTTAGTGGTGACTTATCGAATTTCATTTCCAACTTGTCTATGTACACATTTGCCAAAAGAGGTGGGATTGGAGATGCCATCGATAGTCAATGTATTTGCTCGTAGATACTGCAATTAAATGTAAAATATGTTGTCCCTGCTGTCAGGTTGATCAGTCGTGTTAACGATTCCTTCCGTATCCATTCTGCTTCCAGGATATTCTCTTCTCGCTCCAATATCTCCAGCAAGGAGCTTACCGTCTTCTCACCTGAGATGTTTGTGTACATGGATTGAGCATCGAAACTCACCAACAGTTCCGTCCACACCAGCACAATGTTCTGGATCCTTTGAGAAAATTCATATAAATTCTTAACGGTATTCGAGTATCATTTACTTTCTTGAGCTTCAAGCAAATGAATTTAGTTAATTTGCATGTTGCTCCATGCTTGCTGTTGACTGTTAATCTTAGCGGGTTTCCTTCCTTGTATATCTTCGGTAGTCCTTAAACTGTCGGTGGTCTTGCGTCATTTTTGAATAAAGATTTTATCATCCATCTATCAACTTCCGCATTATTATACATTTCATTTAGCATATTGATAGGTGTTTCGGTCGTCTAAGATACTTTCAATTTTCTTCGTGTACTGTTCCCTGTTCATTACAACCGTCGCTCCTCCCTTATCCGCTTGTAGAACTAATTGATCATTCTGTCATGTTTATAGCCCTAATACCAAGTCTATGACTTCTTATGTCCTAGTCTCTTGTGTACCAACCCACAAATGTTGTGACACTATTTGCTTTGATTAGGTTCAATGTTGAACTACAACATTTGTGAGTTGGCCCAGAAGAGACTGACATAGAAATTCATAGACTTGGTATTAAGGATAGAAACAGGATAGACGCAGCGGAGACTAGAAAGAGTTGACTGACAGTGGGCCTATTGTACCATAGTCTTGTTCCATGTAACAAAGGCGTGACCGTGAGACTTACTCAGAAGCTCTAGCCTTAAATTAGTCACTCAGACGCATGAGAGGGGTAATAACGCCTCGAGTAGCACAGATGGGGTGGCAGGAGTCAAGTGAAATACTTCAACCAGGGAGAGAGCAGACGGATCCTATGGAGCAAGAGGGAGACTCTGATGAGACCTAGGGAAAGAGGACTGCGTAACAATATAGCAGATTCTAATCAACATTCCCAGCACAAAGATAAAGGGGGATGAGGGGATGAGAAAGCCAGCTTGGAGAGTGGAGAGTTTTCATGAAAGCCGTTCAAAAAGGCACACCATTCCACATTGAAACAAGCAAGTAAAAATTGTGATAGTGAAGGCGTGATACCAGGATATAGGATTCGTGATTAGCCCAAGGAGGAAGAAGAAATACCACGATTGCTTAGCAGACGATTGGTGAAAGGATCGGCTTCACTTGTGTTTTTGACGAATTGTAGTGTGGTGCTAAGAATGGCAAGACTCTTTTGACGATGCCGGCGAAACGTCTAGGAATGTAGCGCGTCCACTCTTCGACTGGAAATCATAAGGCATACAATGGACTCCGGTCTAGGTGCGTTCCTCTAAGCCTTCCTACCAATATGGCCAAGTTGCAAAAACAAGGTAAAACAACTTCTATACAACAAAAGAAGATGGCGATCACACAAAAGACCACACCATTTTATTCTTCATATCTTCGATTAATCAAGATCATACTTTAAATGCGTATAGTAAATTCAAGTATCAAAATCTCAGTAACGAAATAAATGGCTATGCGGCCTGGCTTACTCTTTAAAAAAAGAGTTACTGAGAGGTTTTTCAATCCAACTCAAAGAGTTGTAATAAAGATCAAACCTTGTAAGGTTAGGGATTCACAACAGCAAATTAGCAAATCACGATTTCGCGACCTCAATTTATGTAAGAAACATATTTGGCCAATCACAGTCGTTGCATTTAGTAAGACCATTTCTTTCCATCAAAAGCGTTTAGTTTTATGTCTGCACCTTCTATGCTTACAGTAAGCTAATCATATTATAGCTAGCT